ATTCCCTCACAATCTTTTTCATTTTCCCCGTCAACGTAAACAATTCAATCACAAGTGGAAGTTAAAAAAAAAATGTACTGAAATCTACATACTTTACTTTACTTTTCCGATCCAGGTGTCATTTGGGTTCTAGTTCTTCGGTCTGTCAATATGGCAAAGAATTTACAGGTTTATGACTTTATGAAAAGGACTTTAAAATTTTTGACCAGTTTCAAATCTTTCTTTCCTATCCAAAATTCTGGAAAAAGTTGTGTCTAATAGACTGTTACATCATATTAAAGCAAATAATCTTAGCGAAGTCTATCAGTCAGCATATAAGGCACACCATAGTTCCGAGATAGCGTTACTTAGTAAGGTCTGTACTGATGTTTTAAAATATATTGATTTCTACTAAATGTGATTTTTTGTTTGTTTGCTGTTGTTGTTTTTGTTTAACTTGAAATTATCACTTAACTATATCCAGAGGACTAGAGTATCTTTTTAAGTTGACAGGAAAAGAAAGTCGGTAAAGTGTGGCGTTGAAAAAAAACAACAACACTTGCACGATTGTCACACGTGTCAGGCGCCCCCGTTTATATCTTTAAACAGTACTTGAGACCTATTTATATACAAAGAGTACGTGCTAATTGACAAGAAGGTTTAAAAGTAGTTATTCTGCTTATCTCCATGAAGGACGAAGATAATAATAGAAATACTGGAACATTTAGAAGGAGATTCTATTTACTAGAATCCTCACCTTTTATAACCAAAATTTTAACAAAGCAAACCTTATTAAATTTAGTATCTTTTAAGAAGGAAGGGGGGGGGGGGGTGAATGAGTTTGATAGATGATTCACGAAGTATCCAGCACAATGTGTTTAGTCGTGCGACATAGCATTTTCTAACGTTTGGTGTGCTCTAAAATACCACAGATTCTTGGTAGTATGAAAAGTTACGATGATTTGTTAGGGTTTCAGATTACTTTCCCAGGGGGACCAGAGCCACCAGTGCAATAGATAGGTCAAATGAGACATCTTATCGTAACTTTAATTGCATTTCGTGTGTATTAGAAGGCCGGGATGAGGAGAGCGGGTGTTTACAAACAAGGGGAGAGCGGGACTTCTAATGTACTGAAATCTTAGGGCCAGACTGGACGAAAAGGAAGAGGAAGCCGAAAAAGGGGGGAGGGGGGGGGGGGGCTGGAGTGGGTGACAAGTTCGCTAACCAAGAATTAGCAAAGGGATACACGATATTTAAGAACGAGTTCAGGGCAGGCCTTCTAAACTTAAACACTCTCTGCTATCAAGATGGCAGCAGCATGGTTGCTCCACGCTCTGTATACCTCCATGCTGGGCAGTAGTGGTCTTCAGGGAGGACAGGGAGGACAAGGTGGAGGACAGGTAGGGAGGAATGACGTGTACCTCATGGCCAACACCAGCTACGGTACAGTCAGGGGAAAGGTGGACTTCACGACTCAAGTACCAGTGGCCAAATTTCTGGGAATTCCCTACGCTAAATCACCAACAGGTAAGCTGGGACAGGCATTATTACTCCACACATTATAGAATGGCACACACTTGTATGTACTGTTTTTAAATTCCATAGGCAGTAAACTACCACACACAACTTAAAGGTAGTATTAAGACACGCACCCCTTCCCCCCAAACACCCTGTATTTTTGTGCGTTATTGTCATACATTCCTCAGTTCAACTTTTTTAAAAATTGTTTTTTTTTTATGTGTGTAAAAGTGTTTTACGGCGCTCGCAAATGCATAAGGTCATATTAGCGCGCGGGACACATTAAACATTTATTTTCAGGTATTAGAAATTTTTTAATATTGCCCGCGGTTTCGGCCGAAGCCTGCCCTTATCGATTTGGGCCACCAAGGGGTCTCTAAGGTGTGCAACTTGCATACGGGACCTTCGAGATTTTTCACCCATATTCGAGAAGGCGAGGTGAAGATTTTATCTACCTTAAGATCAGGGGTGTGGCTGAAAGACAGCAGTAAGAAGGAGCCGAGGAGTAGCTGTAAAAGACTGAAGAAAGAGTCAGGAGCCCAGAGTAGGGGGGGGGGGGGCAAAAGAGGTGAGGGGGTGGGGCAGAAAATGGAGAAGAAAGCAGGCGACTGAACATTGTTAGAGAGCAGGAAAGAATGTGAAAGGAGAAAACTTTAGATAAGAAAATATTCCGTCACAATCCGGATCCGAACCCGGAACCTATTGAATTAGATGCAAGCACCTTAACCTCTAGACCATGAGAGCCCCCGTTCCACGTGTGTCAAAAACAGCGCTTGAAAAAAATAAGGTACTACTACTACTACTACTACTACTACTACTACTACTACTACTACTACTACTAATAGATAGCATTTGTATAGCGCATATCCCCGCTCAAGAACAGGCTCTATGCAATTTACACTATATTATTACCCCAGCAGACCATAGAACACTCCGAAACATTCTCAGCTTCCCGAGAAGCATACAGTGCAAGCAGCCGATTAAGCGCTCAAACACTAACAAACTGACAAGATCTTTCGCTGTCTAGAGCGGGTATCCATTCCCACCTGAGTGAAGTGAGGAAAATTCGTTTAAAGTGCCTTTCCCAAGGACACAACGTCGGGCCCCTGACGGGATTCGAACCCACGACCTTACGGTTGCCAGTCCGAGAGCCTAACAACTAGGCCACCGACGCAACTAACAAGAATAAATTGGAGAAGAGGAGTTGGGTGGGGGGGGGGGGGGGGGAGGGGTGTTTTTTTATGGGGGCGAGGGGAGGGGGGGGGGGGCTGC